CATAAACCTTTCGTTCAGGCCATTGTTCAAATAGTATCACAGGCTCGAGCTCCTCAATTGTTGTTTTGATGTTTTCATTCTCTTCAGGCTCTTGAATCATATCAGGTCTCAAGTCTATATCTGTCTTTCCTCGTTCCGTTGTGGTTTGGTCTATGTCTTCTTCAACTTTATTTACAGCACTCGTATCTGTTACCATATTAATACTCCTAGCTGTATGTTGTTCCCCTCGAATTTGACAGATTCCCCATGGTGATGGGAATTTCATTACTTGATGTAGAGTTGACAGGACAGCGTCCATATCATGAATCCACGGTCTCCCCATGATTACATTATATTCCATCTCCATATCTACTACCTGAAATTTGGTATCTTTCACAACACCTTCTGCAAAAGTTGTTAGAATTACCTCTCCTTTAGTTACAACACTGGAATTATCGAATCCTGTTAGAGTATGCGCCTTTGGAATCATCTTATCCTCCGCTTGCATTTCACGTAGTACTCTTAATAGGATGATGTTTGCAGAACTTCCTGGATAAATCAAAACTCTTTTTACATTAGTATCATGTATAAGTAAAGATATTACCAGAGCGTCGTTGTGGGGGGTGATCACTCCTTCTGTGTCTGCATCATTAAAAGTGATACTTTCATCCTCTAAGGTTTGACGCACTCATTTCCCGTGCGTGATTGTGACTTTGGAAACTTTATTTGAAGCTGTGTATGTTACTCCATAAATATCTTCTCCCCCACTTATAACATTCACGGTTCTCTTGGGTGATGGGGGTTTTGGTGGCTCTTGCCTGTTTTTCATGTAGGCTTGCTTTCCTTTCTAGCTAAATAACTCAGTGAGATAACCTTGTTTCAATAGATGGTCCACTTCACTTTGTAAGAATCTACATTCTGAAGTCTTATGCCCGTGATCATTATGAAATTCGCACCAATGATCTGGATTGCGCTTGTTTGGATTTGATCGCATCTCTTTCGGCCACCGTACCTTATCTCCCATGCTCCTTAAAACAGCTACGAGCTCGGAGGTAGTGACATTGAAATTATATCCACCAAATCTCGCCTTCAAACTTCCATCATCATCTCGTGCCCCGCGTATGTTTAGATTATTCGCAAACCTTGACGAGGAGCCTGATTCCCTGTTCCTTGATTTTTGATCATATCGTTGATTATCCTGTTTTGTTCGTGAATCTTTTTCTGCAGGACCCATATAAGGATCGTACCTGTTTTTACCTGATCTTTTTTCAGTTTCAGATCTCCTTGAACTGCTTCTTTCTTCATGTTGAAATCGAGGCATGGTATCTTCTTCGATTCGCAACTTCGTACTGTACCTGTTATACACATCATTCCACGTGGTTGCAGGGAACTCTCGAAGGCTTTCCTTAAGTCTTCTCGTGGCTTCAGAACTTTTAACATTTAGATTGCTCGCAAAAGCTATTGCAGCCCAATTATCTGGTACACGGGGTAAAGTCATTCGTTCACGTTGGAACCTATCAACAAAATCTCTTAGGAACTCTGTATCCCCTTGTTTGATTTTAAAGATGTCCTCCATTCTTTTTTCAACCTTTTGTGCTCCTGAGTGCGCCTTAATGAAAGAATCTGCAAGCTCAGCAAAAGAGTTTATAGAGTTTTCAGGCAAAAGAGAATACCAGGTTAGTGCACCCTTGGTGAGTGTTTCACCAAATTTTTTGACCGACACGGACTCAATCTCCTGCTTGGTTAAATCATTTCCTTTGACCCCTGTAGTAAATGTCGTCACATGGTCACGTGGATCGGTTGTGCCGTCATATTTTGAAATGTCAGGCATTTTGAACTTTTTAGGGATTGAAAGGGGAGCAGCACTTGGTTTCCAAGGTTGTTGTGAATATTTTGATTATTGGGGGAACTCCAGGGATTTGCTCGATGCGCTCGTTTTGTTCTTTGAGCTGTGTCTGCAAAATTAGTACCAAATTTTGTAAATGAGAATTATTTGTATTACCTGGATTCATTTCTCGTGGTTCAATGGGGGTTCCTTCGTTTGAATTAACAAGGCCAGAACGAGGATTCTCCAGCGTATTGTTATTAGGCAAAGGTGTGGACGGCGCAGCAGGTAACCGGCTAACTAGTGCCTGAAGAGCTTGGCTAACCCGTGCATCAATTATTCTTTGCAGAGCTTCTTCTGGTCCCTCAAAATGTTCTGATTGCTCTTGCTCATCAGCATGTGATTTAGGAGTGCCTTCACGAGATTGACATGGTGAATTTTGAAGAGAAGGGACCACGTTAAAGTTCTGCAAATCTCCTTGATCTTGATGCATTTGATTTTCACGGTTTCCCAAGGTGTTTTCACTGTTATTATTGTCGTGTGACATGATGATAACAACAGATAGAATGTAACTTAAAAAGAATAGATTATCAGATTCCCGGTAACGGAACCAATTTGTTTAACCAAAAAATATAATTTCGGTTAAAACTAGAATTTGAGATGAAAAATCGGGTTACTGATAATCAAGAGACCAAAAAAGAATAATAGGCTTTCTGAGAATAATAATAAAGCAGCGAACAAGTTTTTATTTCAGTATGATGTCAACCATGGTCTTTTCCCAATACAACTTCCTCCTTTTATAGTTGATTCTAGATAAAGGAATGAAACCTAAGCTTTAATGAGACAATTATGGACAATAAATGATATTAAATGAGCCGTTACACAATCATTCCTATTAAATACCAATTTTCTAACGTATCAGGTATTTAATACTGAATTTGGACTCCTTTTTGTCTTCAGATCCATGTTTTCAATGTCTTTTGATCCACTGGTTTTAAATGACTCGAATTGATACGAGACTCGTATCTAAACTGCTTCTCGTGCCTGTTTCACTTCCTCTTCTCGTACCTGTCATCTCCCGTACCTTTTTCTTAATTGTTATACTTTGACTATTTGTCCAGTCCACGTATCACGCCACGTCATCTTCAATATAAATTCAACTTTTTCCCAATACATGTATATTATGCACAATATTCCACTTACATCTGAAAGGGACAGCGCCAAGACAACTAAGAAAATATTAGTAGCATCCACCGGATCTAGGATTTGCACTAAAGAAATTTAAAATATAAAAATATAAACACACAACGAAGCCAAGGAAATTTAAAACCTATTATATATATAATTTTCTGGCGTTTGAGATTTGGATGAAGTTGTGCCAATGCTAAGTCTAGTTTTATCATCTAATTCATACCATATATCCAACCTTCCACTAACCTAGTCAAAAAAAAGATCATGCTAAAGAATATTTTCCCAAGCGCACCAATAATTGTTATTGGTTTTCAAATAGTCTTCTCATGTTATTTATTTTTAATAATTGTTTCTTTTAACTGGTCAAATAATTGTATACGTAGGGTCAGAAACGTTTGCGCCAGTTAAATGGTGACACACACACACACACACATATATATATATATATATACTTTTCAAGCTTACTAGACTATGCAAATATAGCGAGGGAAAATGGGATTACTTATGGTCTCACGTTTTTTACTATATTTTGCACTTTAATTACTATACTTTGATAGTATTTGATCCTAAATAGTACTTTGTACTTCTTATATGTATTATGCTTTGTAGAGGTGATTTCGCGTGAGGAGCGATGTTGGAGCTAAGTTGGATGGTTGGGAGCTTTGAAGTCTAAATAAAAGTCCAACGGATTAAATCAGGAACGAGTTCGAAGGTCGATGATAAAGTATGGATGTCGAAAAATTGAGAAAAAGTCATATTCCGAGAAAAATGCACTACCACGCCGCGGGCTTGCAGGCGCTAGTGCAAAATTCCTGCAAAGTGAAAAAAATTAGCTCAGAGAGGGTAGTATAAAATAATGCCCAACTTTTTTACTTAGACTCAGAGAGGGTAGTTTCGTTGAGGCCCGTTTCTACTTGGTATAAATACACTGTAAACATGTTTTTGAAGAGATTTGACCTAGGAGAATTTTGGAGAGTTATCACAGCCTGAAGACACAAGATTTCTTCAATTTTCTTGCCAACAATTGGTACAAAACGGAAATTTGTATCGTAAAATTGTCTTTGATGTTTTTTGTATTCTTAATCTCAATTATGATGACTTTCTCCACCGTTATGGAGTAGGTTACTATAAGATTTTACGGATATGGTGTTTGATTGATATTTGTATATTTAACTCTTGTTCAATTGCATGAATTCATTTATAGAGCTTTAAATTGTTCGTAAATTTATTCACTAGTTTATTTAATCGAAAGAGAAATATTTGGTGATTATATTTGCATTAACCGGGTTGGTTTAATTTGGTAATTCTTCTAAGTAATCGAGAGAGCTTCTTGAATTATTAATTAAGCCAAATTAGGAGGATGTTGGATAGAAGTTTTCCTAGAGACTAGTCCACTAATGTGTTCTTGCATATCTCCACAGTGCTTCAAATTAATTATTTCTATTGTAGAGCTCAGATTTAATCGAGAGGAATCTTGACCTTACGTATCATCGAGTGAATTCGCGAGAATCATTATAACATTAGAAGTGAATTTGAATAGAGTTCACACCTATTCTGTCGTGACCCTTATTTCTCATTTTGCTTACAATCCGTTTTAGTTCAACTCTCACTCTCTGTGAGCAAGTCTAGTAAGTAGTAATCTTATTTTTATACTCCAATTAATTGTAGTCGGTAATCACTTCAAATCAAGTGTTAATCATTCTGAATAATGAATAAGTAGAAATTATTCGAACATTGTTTAAATTCAATCTCTGTGAAGATTATATTTTACTATATTATCTTGAATTAGCGAGCATTAATTTTGTGTTGTATTTTACGCTTGTCAATTACTGAGGCACTGTCCTTCTATGGAAGAAACTAATGGAGATTACATTTTGACGGATAGTGGGGGGATAATGTTGACAAAAATGACATCAATAATTGTATCTTAGTAAGAAAAACGTATAATTAACGGTAATGTAAACGAAATTATAAAGGAAAGAAACATACGAAGAAAAGAGAAGAAAGCAACATTCATGTGGCCCATTTCTTGTCAAATCAGTAGGTCCTTTGATGTGATTTCATCCCCCATTTTCTCCTGTTCTTTTAACCTTTGCCATAGCTTTTCAATAGTTGCCTCATTTTTGGCTACAAAAATCGATCAATCACAATCTACTTCAATTCTACTAAAAAAAACATGTCAACTTTTGACAGAGGTAAAGAATTGGTTGAGGGATCATCAAGATCCCCAGGCGATCAACCAGCCACACTGAGTCGATATGAGTCCCAAAAACGACGAGATTGGAACACTTTCGGTCAGTACTTGAGAAATCAAAGGCCACCAGTTTCCATATCCCAATGTAATAGCAGCCATGTCCTAGAATTTCTCCGATATCTAGACCAGTTCGGGAAAACTAAGGTTCACTTACAAGGTTGTATCTTTTATGGACAGCCTGAGCCGCCAGCTCCCTGTACTTGTCCGTTAAGACAAGCATGGGGAAGCCTTGATGCTCTCATAGGACGGCTTCGAGCCGCCTATGAAGAGAACGGCGGCTCGCCTGAGACAAATCCATTTGCTAGCGGTGCAATTCGGGTGTATCTAAGGGAAGTGAAAGAGTGTCAATCTAAGGCACGAGGCATTCCGTACAAGAAGAAAAAGAAGAAGATTGGTGGTACCAGTGACAGCAAAGGAGATGATGATTCCACTTCTTCTCATCACCCATTTTCTTAATCCAATTAATATATAGTATATATTGGATTTCTGCCTACTGCCTGTTTCTTCCCAATGGTAAGATCTTTCAAACACTACAAAATTTCTTGTGCTAGCTTTACTTTACTTGAGTGCTTAATTAATACACTAAGAAGGGTATAACTTTTTTTTTCTTTCCCAAGCATCTAATAATTTGCCTTTCCACTCCTCACTTTGGTGGAAGCCAATTAAATCTGCCTCTTGCGCTCTTATATAATCTTTGGCCTCTCTCTGCTTCTCAGACTTTACTAATAAATCATATAATATATATTTAAACTATATGCAAAGTTACAAGGAGACGTAAGGGACTAGGCCGATACCCCTACATATTAAACTTGAGGGAAAGAGGCATACTTTCAGTATCTTTACATCCAAATAAAGGTGAAAAAATATAACAAAAACTAGTACAAGTAGGATTTTTTAGATTGACTATATGATGGTTGAAACAAGATCGTTCTTTGACTTTTATATAAAGTCTTCCTTCAAGCTTATGAGAGGGGTATAATTTAAGTTTTTGTTCAAAAGGACAAACTTACTTTATGTTGAACACTAGGTTTCAATAATCTTAGGAATGGTTTATACTGTTAGACTGGGTTTATCAAAACCCGAAATGATGATAAGAAAAATTGGTGGGGGAAAGTAGAGTCTACATTCCTTTACAATCTTAACTCGTGAGGTTCAATTGACGAAAGAAGGAAATATTTAGCCCTTTACCTCAAACCCTAGAAATGCTGGATGAAAATGGCAAAAGTATGATTGAAATCTCTATTGGATCGAAGTGAACGTTTACAATATTAAGAATTACACTCGCATTTTTTAATCTAATCATATCAAGCAGAATTCCCATAACACTCTCCAAATTAATAACCCTAATTTACCTTCATGAAAACAAGATTTGTGGAACATAAATTTGACTGACATGAATGAAGAACTAGCTCGTCCTCTTCTCTAACTTTGGTAACAGCTAATTAGCTCAAGAATGCAAAGTTTTCTGCGGTATTTGGACATAGTAACTATTCCTGGTTTTAATATATATATATATATATGTCACCCTTTTCAACTTGTTTATATTCTTTTCGGATTCTGCAGATTTTGTGCACCCCACGTATAGTCATTTGAGGAAGCATACGCTTTTGCATGTTTAGCAGGATCATACTATAATAGACTATTTTATATAGTGGTTATTAATGTCCTACACCTGAATCAATCAATGTATAATAATTTACTCAACCATGGATAATAATTCTTGTTAATTTATAAAAAGTGAGTTTTACATTGGATTTTTAAATCAGCAAAATCATGATTGCGAATCTTTCTTATGTACGAGAAACAATATAATATATATAGATATTCCTTCAACTTATTGGTAACATTAAAATACTAAATATTAATATTCTTATAAGTGCGCACTGATAGATCACCTTATTAATGCAAGGACAATTTTGAGATTTGAATCTTTCATTGTTTAGTTGTCCTTTGTATCTTTACAAGATTGCTCACTGTTTGTATTGGATCTTTGTGGGGGGTCACACTTATTCTTTCTTTGTCAGAATGCTCTTATATATATATATATTTTTTCATAAAAAATAATGATGTACTATGACATATTCCTATTTTCGCCAATATCGATACTGTTGGTCGTTTGCTGCATTTTTGTCATCTGTTTGCTTCTGCTTCATATTGTTCATTGACATTCAAAATGGAAACAGGTAGCTCATCTCTTGTTTTTTTTTTTTTTATATGTAACAATAAGAATACTGGACAGATTGTGGGGTTATTTATTTTAGTTACCCTTCTGTTTAATTTCACAAAATGGTAAGGTGATGATAATAGGTTAATCCATAGGCGAATGTAGCGTCCACGCTTAAAGTTTCTTCGTTTTTCGTGTTAATGAACTCTTAAGTATATAACTTAACATAAGTATAGGGTGTTTAAATGAGTTACACACGGTCAGTAAAGATATGTATAGACAACTCAACTTGTTTGATACCGAATTATGTATAATTGTTTTATTGTATAACTTAGTATCGGGAGAAATTCAAAAATAGCCAGATTTACCACTGGTCGTTGAAAAATAGCCAAGTTTCAAAAGTCATCGAAATTTAGCCACTTTAAATCTGAGCGAAAACACTGTTCAAAATCCAGAAAAATGCGCCCGCAAATTTTACGGGAGTTCCAGCATAAGTATGCTTGAACTCCCGTAAGTTTTACGGGAGTTCCAGGATAGCTATGCTGCAACTCCCGCAAATTTTACGGGAGTTCAAGCATAATTATGCTGGAACTCCCGCAAATTTTACGGGAGTTCCAGCAAGTATAATTGTCCAGTATAATATACTGGAGTTTGGAACACTGATGCTCCAGTCTCCCGCAAATTTTACAGGAGTTAGCAAATTATACCGGTCCAGCATAATATGCTGGAGTTCGTACACAAATGCACCAGAACTCCCGTATATTATACTGGACCGGACCCTGTTGCAGCAAAATAGTGGCTATTTTTCATTGACTTGATAAACGCTGGCTATTTTTCATTGACCAGTGTGAAAACTGGCTATACCATGATATTTTAACCTTAGTATCTAAGAAGATCTGAAAAGATGGGAGATATACAGACAATAAGATGAATTTATTTCTATTTAATCTAAGTATATTTTAATGTATAAGTGGCAATATAATATTGGTAAAATTAGAACAACTTTGCAGTATAAAATTAGTAATTTGTGCTCTTTAATTAAGGATGCATCCCAAGTACTCCCTCCGTTTCAATTTATGTGAACCTATTTCCTTTTTTGTCCGTTCCAAAAAGAATGATCCCTTTCTAAATTTGGAAACAATTTAGCTTAAACTTATAATTCTACCCTTAATAAGAAGCTTTTATAACCACACAAATACTCCGGAGCCCTTTTTGACTTATTTAGGACCACAAATTTCAAAAGTCTTCATTTTTCCTTAAACTTCGTGTCCAGTCAAACAGGTTCACGTAAATTGGAACAGAGGGAGTATCATATTTGATGTTTCATAGAGAAACTCTCCTTCTTACTTTATCTATATGTATTGAATTCTTATATTCTGATTAAATATAAATCAACAATGATTACATTGCATTTATATTGTTTCTATTTTTTCTTTTGACATAGTTATACATGCACATTTTTATGTAAGGCAGATAACGTTCATATTATAAATACTCTAATCCTTGAAATATATTTCTAGAGAATAGAACTGATGATTGTACGCTTCATGAGCAGGATATTGCCGACAATTAAGGGGTTTGCTATGTAGCTCTGGAAGAATCGTATTATGTCAACAATTTGGTTATAAGCCCCTTTCCTTTCTCTGCTAATTAATTATTAGCAAGTGTTTAAGGGCCTTTCCTTTAAATAACTAGGAAGTAATCCACTACTCTATTATTTTCTGGCGGACTTAGCCCATATTCCCAGCTATTTGTGAATCGTAAATTATCTCTTGTAACTTGTAAGATCGTAAAACTTTTTGTACAAGTGATCTTCCCATTTGCCAGTGCAGCTTTTCTCAGTTTTGGATCCAAATTCTACTGTGCAGTACGTAGTTTTATTCTCGGAAAATTCACGCTACACGGCAAATATATATATATTGATCATTCGTAGCTATATTCGAATTTTATAACACATCCACTTGTAATACTGAAACAAGAGATCGATTGTTTCGAACTGAAGTAAGAGAGAAACAAGCTCTCGTATCTTAGTTGGTTAGAGCATCCCACTTAGTAAGCGGGCGCCTTGAGTTCGACTCTAATGAGAGCATTTTATTTTTCTGTATTTATGTATTTTGCCTTGGAACCAATATAGTCGATACGGATGTCAGGGTGTTCTCTAAGATCAACTTGAGGTCGGAGTATCATCAGTTGAAGATTTGGGATTCGGATGTTCAGAAGACAGCTTTTGGGACTAGATATGGACATTATGAGGTTTCTAGTGATGTCCTTCTGTTTGACTAACGCCCCGGCGGAGTTTATGGATTTGATGAACATGGTGTTCAGGCCATATATTGATTCATTTGTCATTGTCTTCATTGATGACATTTTGATCTACTCCCGTAGCATGGAGGAGCACGAGCAGCATTTGAGAGTTATCTTCAGACCTTGCGAGAATAGAAGCTATATGCTAAGTTATCCAAGTATGAGTATTGGCTAGATTCTGTAGCATTCTTGGGGTATGTTATATCAGGCGGGGGTATTAAGGTAGATCCCAAGAAGATCGAGGCAGTTCAGAGTTAGCCTCGTCCGACCAGAGCAACTGAGATCGGGAGTTTCTTGGGGTTAGCAGGTCATTATCGCCGGTTTATGGAGGGCTTCTCATATATTGCAGCACCTTTGACTAGATTGACCCAGAAGGGTGCTCCATTCCGATGATTGTGAGGCGAGCTTTCAGAAGCTCAAGACTGCCTTGACTTCAGCACCGGTGTTAGTGTTGCCTTCCGGTTCGGGGATGTATACGGTGTATTGCGATGCTTCACGCGTTGGTTTGGGTTGTGTGTTGATGTAGGAGGGGCGACTTATTGCATATGCTTCACGTCAGTTGAAGCCCCACGAGAAGAATTACCTTGTACATGATTTGGAGTTGGCCGGGTTGTTCATGCTCTTAAGATCTGGGGTCATTATCTTTATGGGGTGTCCTGTGAGGTTTACACCGATCATCACAACTTGCAGCAGGTTGTGACCACGTATTCTTCAGAGAGGTCGGCCCAGATTTACATTTAGGAGATTGTTCGGTTGCATGGCGTGCCCGTTTCCATCATTTCAGATAGAGGCCCTCAATTCACTTCACATTTTTGGAGGGCAGTACAGAGTGAGTTGGGGACCCGGGTAGAGCTCAGCACAGCCTTTCATCCGCAGACCGACGGGCAGTCAGAGCGGACAGTTCAGATCTTGGAGGATATGCTTAGGGCATGTGTGATTGACTTTGGAGGGCAGTGGGATTGATTCTTGCCTGTGGTCGAGTTTACATACAACAACAGTTATCAGTCCAGCATCGAGATGGCTCCATTTGAGGCTTTTTATGGTCGGCGATGTCGTTCGCCCATCCGATGGTTTTATCCCGGAGGCTAAGTTGTATGGTACGGATTTGGTGAAGGATGCCTTGGAAAAGGTAAAGTTGATTCAGGAGCGTTACAAGGTCCAGACAGAAGAGTTACGTGGATCAGAAGGCGCGTGATCTATCATTCATGGTGGGTGAGAAAGTTCTTTTGAAGGTCTCGCCGATGAAGGGAATCATGAGGTTCGGGGAGAAGTGCAAGTTGAGCCCAAGGTTTATAGGTCCATTTGAGGTGTTAAGGCGAGTTCGGGAGGTTGCTTATGAGCTTGCTTTGTCTCCCGGTCTGAATACAGTTGATATAGATTATATTTGTTGTGCGTCTGAATACAAATGATACAAGCTGGTGACAATTGAACAGTAGCTATGAATGATAATTAGACAAATTATAGTTACATATGGTAATTAGACTCTATTGATTTATGAAAATTTCTCTTTATTCTCCTTTCTACCATCGGGATATCAACTGTTAGGTGTTTGTCCAAATTTTCTTACCATAATTGGTTTTCCTATATCATGAAGGAAATGACAACATATTTACCATAATTGGATTTTTTGTTTCCTAGAAGGAAAATATATTCTTCCATATTTGGCTAGTCCCTTTTCTTGTAGGAAAATGTTTGGAGTTCTATAAATTGAAGATTCGTCCTTCTCATTCAGTAGCATCCACAATGTAGCCATAGGGGGCTTAAGAGTCTTGTTTAGGGGGAGAACTTTACGGGACAAGTGTTAGTGTGTCACTTGTGTTTGTCTCTTCGTGAGGTTGTTCTCTCGATATTTTGTACCCTCCTTTTACATAGTGGATTGCTCATCTCCGCCGTGGACGCAGGTCAATTGACCGAACCACGTTAAATGTTTGTGTCTCTTTTGGTATATTTCTCTTTTGTTGTCTGATTTATCGTCGTTGAAGGTTTGCTTTACTAGCTTCCGCATGACACCTAACTTTTTTCGGTCCTAACAAGTGGTATCAGAGCGAGGTTCAAGACAGGTTCATCTTGGCGGGTTCAGTTCTAGCCACGACATATTTGACGATAATCGTAATTTTTGTCTGAGAAAGTTGACCGGTGTGCTACGCACGTTGAGACAAACTTTGTGGTGGAGATTTGGAGATGCGACCTGTTGAAGGCTATACGAAGAAGGTCGATTAAGTTTATTTTGTCAAAAAATTCAGGCCAAGGGGGAGAATTGTTCGCTGTTTGTCCATATTTTCTTACCATAATTGGTTTTCCTATCTCATGAAGGAAAGGACAACATATTTACCATAATTGGGTTTTTCTTTTCCTAGAAGGAAAATATATTCTTTCATATTTGGCTAGTCCCTTTTCTTGTAGGAAAAGGTTTGGAGTTCTATAAATTGAAAATCCGTCATTCTCATTCAGTAGCATCCACAATGTAGCAATAGCGGGCTTGAGAGTCTTGTTTAGGGGGGAGAACTTTACGGGACAAGTGCTAGTGTGTCACTTGTGTTTGCCTCTTCGTGAGGTTGTTCTCTCGATATTTTGTACTCTCCTTTTATATAGTGGATTGCTCATCTCTGCCGTGGACGTAGGTCAGTTGACCGAACCACGTTAAATGTTTGTGTCTCTTTTGGTATATTTCTCTTTTGTTGTCTGCTTTGTCGTCGTTGAGGTTTGCTTTACTAGCTTCCGCATGACACTGGATTTTTTTCGGTCCTAACAATCAACAAAATGAGTCTAATTGATTTCTGGCAAATTAAACATTCTCAAATTGTTTCCTTTTATGATCCGAAAAGATACCTGTCAAAACTACAAAAGTCAAGATAGAAGTAATTAAGTCCATGGACACAATGGTTGCATATATCTGTCACACCTCCTTTTTTTTTCGAAGAATAAGAATTTTTTTCAATTAAAGTGACATTGTTCGAAATGAGATAGTTTATTTAATTAGAGTCGCCACTTGGAATAATTATTATGTTATCCCAAGTCACCGGTTTATTTTAAAATTCCAAATTGAGGAAATTGACTTTATTTGTGGTCCGCGAACATAGAAGAACGGGTAAGGAATTCTGTTAACCCGGGAGAAGGTGTGAGGCACTCCCGAGTTTCGTGATTTTAGCACGCTCGCTCAACAATTAATAATTGGCCTAATTATCTGATTTATTACATATTTAAAATCTATTGTGCATTTTGTCTTTTACTGCTTTCAATATATGTTTTTAGTAATTATGGAATTTATCTGAACAAGCCGCGACTTGTTGTTTTCATACATATTGCAAATCGCACCACGTGAAACGCACCTGCGATTTACAACATGTTTATTTTAATTATTTGAAGTTGCGGTCAAGTCGCGTGAACGCGCACTTGAATTGGAATTTATGTATCACGACTATGCCACGGGAACCGTACCCATAATCACAATGATTTATTATTATCGCGCCTAAAGCAAGCTACGATATTCCTGAGTGATTATTTTCCTAAGTTTGAGATGGCATGTAAAGTCCGAGGATTATAGAATCTTTTGTCGGTAACAAATGTGTAGTTTTTAGTTCAAGTGAATCTCCGAAAACGTTCCAAAAAAAAAAAAAACTTACTAAGGGGAGGCTGTTGGGGAACATGAATGAACGGAAACCAAGAGGGTGAATTTTTAGGCACTAGTCTAAGTTCAGTGGAGAGAATCACATCAGGCGAGTAAAAGGCTAATAATATAATCTAATTCTTCACGTGGAGTTTAAAGTTAATTACAGGTGAATAAGAGTGTTATGGGAATATTAACTAAATGACCAAATCAGAACTCCAATAGATCATATGTGAAGGCAATCGGCTCAAATTGAAGCCTAAAACATGGCCTTTAGAAAGTCAGACCCCTTATTTAAGGGGCATTTTGTATCTATACCCGCTTTTTGTGTCACGTTTTAACTTGTGCCGGCTTTGCAAAAAAAATTGCAAGCGTACCCGCTTTTTTGCATAACTTCAGCATACGGGGCTGAAGTAGCAAAGGCAATCACCCAAAACTTCAGCATTCTAGTAGACGGGCCTGAAGTAGCAAGTGTGCTGAACCAAGTGTGCTGAAGTTTTTATTTTTGTAACTAGCGAACTTCAGCTCTAGAGCTGAAATTTTTGTTTTTGTAACTGGCGAAGTTTTTGTTTTGTAACTGGCGAACTTCAGCTCTAGAGCTGAAGTATTTGTTTTTGTAACTGGCGAACTTCAGCTCTAGAGCAGAAGTTTTTGTTTTGTAACTGGCGAGAGCTGAAGTTTTTATTTTGTAACTGTCGAACTTTAGCTCTAGAGCTGAAGTTTTTGTTTGAGCTGAAGTTTTTATTTGTAACCGGCGAACTTCAGCTCTAGAGCTGAAGTTTTTGTTTGTAACTGGCGAAGTATGCACTGCTGCACTCTCTACATCTACAGTGACGACGACGAGCAGAAGAAGTTTGCTCGTTTCTTTCCCTCGTTTTCCATAACTTAAACTAATAGTCAAAAACCTTGTTGAGGGTTTG